TTTAAGAATATAAAAATTTACTAGTTATAAAACATATGAAATACAGATTTGAAATATGAGTAAATAAATTCTACAAAGGTAACATATTATAATACAAAAGACAATATTTAATAAACTTAATTAACTTTAACAAAACTTATTTAGCAAAGTTACATGTGCTACTTGCATGTAATATAGTTAAATCTCATAATTTACAATACGAAGATATCATTTATTTCGCATACTTTATTTTTCAACTATAAAGTGAACAAAATTATTTTTCATCCAACTTAAAATTTCAAAATTATTTATATTTTGAAATAGAAATAATTATAGTATAGAATGAAAAGTTATTTGAAATAATACTCCAAATAATATCATTTCGAGAACAATTGAGTCTGTTAGCTAAATAATAAATTAAAATAACAATAATTAAATGCGATTAGTTACTAAACAAAGATTGGCTATTATCAAAAAGTGTTCTACAGATTTAATATTGATTGAATATTGAACTTTTGCCACACATTGATTGCAACTTAGAGCTCAATTTATATTAAGTTCATATAAATATCAAAATCTATTATCAAAAAGTATTCCACAGATTTAATATTAATTCTTAACAATTATTAACAATCTTTAGTATACACTGATTGAAACTTGAAGCTCAATTTATTATAACGCATCTCATTTCTGTTCACTAAAAATTTAAATAAGTTTTCTTATACATTATGCAATTTTGTTTGAGTTTTATAGAAAAAATGTATACAAAGTGAATAATTACATTAACACGAAACAAATATTACATTGAGCAAGTAATTTAAATAAAATTATATTTCTAAAAGTGATCGCTACAATCAAAGGAACTCCTTTATATTGAACCACAATGACCGATTTGTGTCGTACATTTACTTTTCTTATCAAAAGTAACAAAATATCGGTGTACAGGCTGATAAAAATGTGAAGAACTCACAATCATATCGATTCTGATTCTTATAAACGATGCATGATAAAATTCATTTATAATCTATTGCTTTCTTTCTTGTTACCTACCAATTTCATATTTTCTTGCATAAAGAAAATTATATTGATGTTGTACTTATAGAATTTATAGAATTTATAGAATTTATAGAATTTATAGAATTTATAGAATTTATAGAATTTATAGAATTTATAGAATTTATAGAATTTATAGAATTTATAGAATTTATAGAATTTATAGAATTTATAGAATTTATAGAATTTATAGAATTTATAGAATTTATAGAATTTATAGAATTTATAGAATTTATAGAATTTATAGAATTTATAGAATTTATAGAATTTATAGAATTTATAGAATTTATAGAATTTATAGAATTTATAGAATTTATAGAATTTATAGAATTTATAGAATTTATAGAATTTATAGAATTTATAGAATTTATAGAATTTATAGAATTTATAGAATTTATAGAATTTATAGAATTTATAGAATTTATAGAATTTATAGAATTTATAGAATTTATAGAATTTATAGAATTTATAGAATTTATAGAATTTATAGAATTTATAGAATTTATAGAATTTATAGAATTTATAGAATTTATAGAATTTATAGAATTTATAGAATTTATAGAATTTATAGAATTTATAGAATTTATAGAATTTATAGAATTTATAGAATTTATAGAATTTATAGAATTTATAGAATTTATAGAATTTATAGAATTTATAGAATTTATAGAATTTATAGAATTTATAGAATTTATAGAATTTATAGAATTTATAGAATTTATAGAATTTATAGAATTTATAGAATTTATAGAATTTATAGAATTTATAGAATTTATAGAATTTATAGAATTTATAGAATTTATAGAATTTATAGAATTTATAGAATTTATAGAATTTATAGAATTTATAGAATTTATAGAATTTATAGAATTTATAGAATTTATAGAATTTATAGAATTTATAGAATTTATAGAATTTATAGAATTTATAGAATTTATAGAATTTATAGAATTTATAGAATTTATAGAATTTATAGAATTTATAGAATTTATAGAATTTATAGAATTTATAGAATTTATAGAATTTATAGAATTTATAGAATTTATAGAATTTATAGAATTTATAGAATTTATAGAATTTATAGAATTTATAGAATTTATAGAATTTATAGAATTTATAGAATTTATAGAATTTATAGAATTTATAGAATTTATAGAATTTATAGAATTTATAGAATTTATAGAATTTATAGAATTTATAGAATTTATAGAATTTATAGAATTTATAGAATTTATAGAATTTATAGAATTTATAGAATTTATAGAATTTATAGAATTTATAGAATTTATAGAATTTATAGAATTTATAGAATTTATAGAATTTATAGAATTTATAGAATTTATAGAATTTATAGAATTTATAGAATTTATAGAATTTATAGAATTTATAGAATTTATAGAATTTATAGAATTTATAGAATTTATAGAATTTATAGAATTTATAGAATTTATAGAATTTATAGAATTTATAGAATTTATAGAATTTATAGAATTTATAGAATTTATAGAATTTATAGAATTTATAGAATTTATAGAATTTATAGAATTTATAGAATTTATAGAATTTATAGAATTTATAGAATTTATAGAATTTATAGAATTTATAGAATTTATAGAATTTATAGAATTTATAGAATTTATAGAATTTATAGAATTTATAGAATTTATAGAATTTATAGAATTTATAGAATTTATAGAATTTATAGAATTTATAGAATTTATAGAATTTATAGAATTTATAGAATTTATAGAATTTATAGAATTTATAGAATTTATAGAATTTATAGAATTTATAGAATTTATAGAATTTATAGAATTTATAGAATTTATAGAATTTATAGAATTTATAGAATTTATAGAATTTATAGAATTTATAGAATTTATAGAATTTATAGAATTTATAGAATTTATAGAATTTATAGAATTTATAGAATTTATAGAATTTATAGAATCTACAAATTTTACAGAATTTGCAGAATTTACAGAATTTACAGAATTTACAGAATTTACAGAATTTACAGAATTTACAAAATTTACAAAATTTACAGAATTTACAGAATTTACAGAATTTACAGAATTTACAGAAGTCACAAAACTTATTGAAAAAAAAATATGAAACGTGAACAAAATAATATTTTTCGATCAATAATATAATTTCAATATACATTCAATTAATAACACAGTCATAAAATTAGTAAAATTAATTTCATTTACTGAATACTACAATATCTCTTACATTTTTCAATGCAAAACCAAAAATATAATCTACGTTGCTTCGCTTAATAACTAATTAATTATTTGCATTCAATAATTTTGTATTTAATAGTCAAACTATCCGAAATTCACTCCGTGTTCCTCTGTCCAATCGGTTTACATTTAAGAAACGTGTAACTTTCATGTTTTTCGTCATTTTCTAAAAAATAACGTTTATCTCACTTTTAGATACAGCTTCAAAAAGTTTATTATTAGAGAAAATGATTATTGTACTAAATTCATAAAAATACCACGGGTAAATATTATCCTTCAAACTCGAAAGAAAAATTGTCTTCCTTGTCGCTTATGGACACATAGTGAAAGCACAACGTGTATGAAAGGTAAATGTCTGTATCAGGTTACTCTTTCAAATTATAAATTTAAGAAAATAAAGTGCTCATCATATTTATTAATTACTTAATTCAGTTCTTATGCGGTTTCTCCACATTTGTAACAACCTATATAATTACTCAATTTAGAAACATTTCAAATAATTTAGCTATTTTCTTTTCGGTTTTACAGTTTAATAGTATATTTATCAGTTTATTAGTTTAGTTTTTACAGTTCAGTAGTTTGGTTCGATTTCCTACAATTACATGATTAACAATTGTTTTAGAATGAACTAAATGAAAAGAGACAAATTTTATAAAAAGAAAATCGAATACAGGAACTATGTCATCTCTCCTATGTTAGAAATTTGATTTTCTCCATTTTTCTGTTTCACAGCCCCTCAAAAAACGCGAATACATTTTCTATGATTTAAATTCGAGAATATCAAACTCTCAGTTGTGGAGCATATATTTCTACTGTCATTAAAGTGTCAGAATTTGATAACATTAAATTCTTAAATATTCTTGCATGACTCACCTCTAGCAAGGCAAAACTGCACGATAGAAGGAATCGTACCTGCAGAGGGTATTTGTACCTAGGACCGTCGGGACTGTTAGGAAAAGGTTAGAAAATCGAATCTACCTGAACCCGAAATGTCACCAGTCGTTGCGATTCGTTTATTGAACAGCAAGAAGATCGATTCCACGATCGAAACTCATTGGTGGTGTTCGGTACCGTTAGTTTACAACAATGAGTATTCCTCAAGGACCTTTTGGTCTTGCCGGATAATCATGGTTGTACCTGATCCTACCGTGATGTCAGGTGTAACTAAACTTTCGACAGAATATTGACACCGAAATAAATCACCTTGCAATCCCTGTAAAAGTCAACTTTTATTTTATATCGCTTTCATATTGCCTTGAGAAGGTAATAAAATTGAGACTGCAGAGAAGGCAAAGTTTGATTTGTGACTACTATAAATCTAAATAAAATAATTGTGATACTAATATTGAAGAATTAAAGTTTTAGGTACATTAATATTACATGGTGAGAGTTTATTATTGCAAATATAAATAAGAGATAATTAAATATAAAATAAATATTAACGTTGAAACTTAAAGGTACAAATATTAATATAAAATATAAAGAAATTTGTTTAAAAAATACACCGGTTTTGTGACCAATAATTTCATGCGTCAAAAGTTGTACTTTATAACGGTAAAGTTGGTGTTAGAAAAGGATAAGAATAATAAACGTGGATTCTGTGAATGAAACAATCGTTTCCTTATTTCTAAAGCGGTATACATAAAATAGGAAAAAATAATAAAGCTTCTTCAATATTGTTTATAACGTTTTCCGATATATTTAAGGAACTATTATTTTTAATATTTATTTACAAGAAGCATCGTCACGATAAAATTCCGTTCAATTTTATTCGAATTTTGAGTATCAACGGATAAAAAGTTCATCTGCTTTGATTCTGTTCAATATACATATATAACCATTTACAATAATATTACAAATCATTATATTACAACAATACCCACAGCTTGCGGTCCGTGAGAATTCGTTCGAATAACTGAATCGATATAAATATTTAAAACATTCCTTTGCGGGACATCAAGCGAATCCTTAATATTTGCAATGATAACATTCATAAAATTTACAACAAATCAGTTCTTTCAAATACTCGTACGATACTGGAACATAATGTCCTCTTAAAACTAACCAAGGATTTCAATGTCGATGCGAACTGTACGTTTGTCGAGTTGCACGACATTTTGTCGAGTACTCGATAAAACATCAACAATCCTTGTAAGGCACTCTGGAATGCTGTATCCTTCGAGGATACCTGGATGTCGATACGACACCCTTACAGAACAATAATAGAAAACTTTTTGGACAAGTTACGCGTCAAATGTCTCCAGCACAACTATCGACAAAAACAAAACGCGACTTTGTCGATTCATAAAGTTACATGTGTACAATGTTGATATGACTAGATCACAGTTAGTAGAACAGCCGCTGGTTGCCGGCTCCCTTAGGTCCCTTCTTCTAACATACTTCAGGAGAATTCTGCAACAGAAAAAGAAATTACATTAACACCACTGAACATTATTTTGATACTTCAGATTATTATATGATTTAGCATATGATTCAGAAGTAGCGAAAAGGTTGACACAATTTATTTGATAGACCAGATATATGCAAATTTCGATACACTATCAATTTTCCTTCTACGAATAATACAAAAATTATTCGTCATCCTTAATAAAGGTTGCACGTTATGAAATTTATATTTGTTTTAAATAAATGCATATCTCGACTAAAGCTCAAATTTTTCATTTCTGCTATGAATAACAAAATTGATTAAAATCATAAAAATTTAATTGCAGGTTAACGTAGAATGTCATCTTAAAGATCATCGACTGTCATATTCCATTAAAAACGCTGTTACAATTTGATTCCATTTAAGCAACAACTTGTACGTTTGCTGAATATTTCCAGACGATACCAGTTTATAATTTTATTCCCGACTGAAAATCAGGACTCCGAAGGTCGGTAAGGAGACGCTACAGGTATATAAGTGCGTGAAACAGGGGATGATTTCAGGTAAGGGCAGTTTTACTGGAAGGGACGCTCTCTTCACGGGTAAAACGAAAAAGAAGAAATCGATGGTGACGGAAGGGGAAGGGGGAGGCTGAGAGAGAGACAGAAGAATAGCGTACCGGTTCAAAACCCACAAAAGGGGGACTGAAATATCCTGAAAGATGCATTCAGGTTAAACGCAGCAGACGAAATCGTCTCTTGTCAAAGAGGGAAAAAGAGACAGAGAGGGATGAAGGAATCTAAAAATAAAGTAAGAGAGAAAAATGCGCGGGAACGTTAGGTTTCAAAGGGAGGTCGAGAAAAGTTACGTCCATCAAGATTAGAAGCTGAATTCTTGCACAAATCAGCAAAACCAAGCATTAATTCCTTGGTGGAAATCCTATTGTTACATAACACGATTATTACATAAAAACTATAGAAAAAGAAATATTTTCAAATCAATTGTTTAATAGAATGATTGTTTTTGAGATGTATAAATTAAAATTCTTGAAGTCACGAAGATAATATACTGGAAGGAAATGTTTGAAAGTTGTCAACTCTTGTAGAAGGTGGCAAAATTTTCAGAGGAGACGAATTAGACAACTGAGAAGGTCGAAGGGTGAAGAGGGATGAAAAAACGGTAGAAGGACCGGTACACACACATGGACGTGTTGGCACAGTGAAAGAAATCCAGCACAAAAGCGTCGCTTCTCGAATGTAGACTCGCTGCCCCTTTGAATGGAGTCTGCGATTTGAATGGCTGGAGTTTCAGCGAGGGGTCGCGCGCGCCATTGTGACGGGGCAAGGTCACAAATCTGGTCGGAAATTTCTTTGAACTTCCTTGGTAACGCGGATGTTACCTCACAGGCAAAATTTACGGCCGTTCTAAAGCGAGGGAGGTGAGAAAGTTTACAAGAAAAAAAGAACCCTGTATATGATGCAACGTTTCTTTTAACCGGTTTCACCTTATAGAAAATTGGTAACAAACTTATACAAAGAAAAAGCGGGTAAATAATTTTTATAAACGTTAAAAATAACAGCGTATCATTAGACAGTAGAAGTAGTTCCACAGGAAAACATACTAAATGACTCAAATAGGAAACATGTTAGTAGTGTTAAGTATAAATGTGTATAATCACAACACCAACCTGTGAAGACAAGAAAGAACCAACGAGGAGCCGACGTAGACATCGGTCCTTTCATTGACTCTGTTGCCACCAGGAGATGACGTCCAACAGTTCCTCGTCTTCTGGACTCATGGGTTCATAATTATCGTAACCATCGGAATGCGTGTTGTAAAGGGTTCCCGAAGTCCCGTATCCTTGACTGCCAGCCGATGACGCTTCGGAGACAAAGCTCGGTGTCGGCGAACTGGAAGCCTCGGAACAGGGTGCGGGCACGAAAGTTGGACTAGGGTTTTGTCTCAAATGTTGATGTCGGTGCAAGTCGGAATTATGATGTCGGATCTCGTTGTTAGCATTCCTGCGAAGTCTTAACTCTGGCGAGTGATGACTGGCTTCGACTCCGAGACCGTTGTTGGAACTACACGTGGACGAGGCAGAGGACGTCGAAGAAGGCGGTGAGGAGGTGGGCGACGATACGCTGGTCAAATCCGAACCACTGTCGTGCTCTTCGAGAAGCCGCTGAAGACTCCTGATATACTCGACCGCCATCCTGAGCGTTTCTACTTTCGACAGTTTTTTACTGCCAGCTCTAGATCCACCGTGTGTGCCGGCTGTACTTCCTCCGAGCGCTTGCGCCACGCTTTGGGGTATGTGTTGTCTCAACGTGGCGAATCCGTTGTTCACCTGCTTGACACGATTCCGTTCGCGTGCATTCCGCCTCGCCACCGAAGCTGGTTGATGAGGAACCGTGCCATAAGGCCCGGTCGCCTGGCTGTAGATTTTCGATCGTTTACACCCGTGCTGCTGGATCTTGATGTCGTTGGTCGGCATACTATTCGTCGAAACAATCACATTGCCGCGATGGGTCTGAGCACTGGTCGTAGAACCATGAAGATTATGGTGATGATGCTGTTGCTGTACGCTCAACATGATGGGTAATACGTTCCCCTCCTTCGTTCCCACTAAGGTCATATCACTGATCCGATTCCCCCCCACTACGTGAGCAGGAGTGCGCGGCAGCGCGTGCCAGATGACCTTGAGAAATAGGATCCCCGATGTACTCGAAGTACGAGGCTGCCGATCGTTTACTACGACAGCTGAACCCTCTCTAACGAACCCCCTTCCTTCAGTGACACCTCGGTTAAGTACACGCTATACGTCGAACCGGCGTACGAAGAGAAATAAAAACCTTCGAAACGAGACGAGTTGTTACGCGAGCAAAGACAGTTGAAAACTTGAACCACACCCTCGATGCTGACAGTACGGACCTGGCTCCCGAAATGCCTTGGCAAGAAGGGTTCGAGGCCTTATATAGCCAGGGCGGGCACGCGCCTATCCCCTCCACCGGGCCCCATACTCGATCTCGGGCCCTAAACCCCCATCTTCTCCCCCTCCCTCCCGCCCTATCGGCTTGCTGCGCCTCATACCCCTGTTGATCCCCACCGCTACCTATCCAAAGGCCCTACAACGCCCGAGATTCTCATCTCTTCATGAATCGCCCTCGTGTTTTTGCATGCCTGTTCGAATCTATTTGCTGATTTCGGATATTTAAAGATGATACCCTCCGACGTTATCGGCCCGATAACTTACGTCGTGGCTCTCGGTTTCTTAGAAACCGTAACACGCTATGCGCGCTCTACCTAATCTCAAGTCGAAACTTTCAAGTTGGAAGTTAAATGTTATGATACATTTTTTAACCTAATTTTTATTCCATTTAATTTTTGTAATAATATTTATTTCATTTAATTTAGAGTACACAGCTTACTGTAAAAATGTAGTAATCATAATTTACATTAACATTTAAATTAACATCTATGGTTTTTTGTTAGTTGCTTGATGTACTATAAGCTTGAATGAACTATAAGAATTTAAACAATCTAATAGTCAACATCAAAATAATTCAAATTATAGAATAGGCTGTAGGTTTGAATCGGAGGGAGGACTGTTTAAATGATTCAGTGAAGTACGGTGAGATTTTACATACGCACCCCGTGCGTCCAATAAGAAGGCGGACAGACCAATGGCAGTAGTATTGCTTCCGACCGCCAACTTACGAGACGCGCACAGTACATCGACCGTGCCCAAAACACGGTCCACGTACGCTGCACGTGTCAGCAGATACAGGATCGGCTTGCAGCGATCTCCGAAAATTCGTGGCCGTGTGAGAGACACTGGCATGCACGTAAGAAGGGTCCACATCCCCACCGACCGGCCGGTGTCTCAGGGATTGAAATTTGAACAGTTACCGGGAGAAAGAAAAGCTGGTCCAGAGATCGAGCGAGCTGGTCGAGAAAGACACGCGCACGTACCACGGGCAAGTCGAAGCGAGAGGAGGGTACGGATAAAGAAAG